TTAATCGATATTTTAGTAGTTTGATCAGTTTAGTATATTTATAAATCGACCACCGATAAACTGAACGGGTAATATTTAAAATCAAATCGAACCGACCAATAAACATTGCTTGTGTAATCAGAGGCGGAGCCCAAGATTTTTAGCATGTTTGGCCAAACTGCAAAAATCAGCTTATTTTGAGAAATGTTTTTACTTAAAAGTGCTTTTTCTCAAGACTATTTTTAGTAAGAAGCAGTTTGTGTTTGGGTAATTAATTTGAAAAGCACTTCTGAGCAGCAATTAATGTTTGCCAAGCTTTTGAAAACTGTTTCAAAGTGTATTTTTCTCAAAAGTGTTTTTCAAAAAAATGGTCTCGGAGATAAACTACTTTTATCTACTTCTCCAAAATTGCTTCTGCTTCTCCTCAAAAGCACTTTTTCCTTCCAAAAGCTTGGCCAAACACATCAACGTTGAAAAAAAAAAGTGCTTCTAAGATTGGAGAAGCTTGGCCAAACAGGCTATTCAACTTTATGGGAAGGGGCGGATGCCAAGGGTTAGCAACGAGTTTAATTGAACCCATAACTTTTGACGCGGAGTAAAAATTTATGTGTAAAAATTCCTTAAAATTGTAAAAATAATAGATATGAACCCATAACTTTAAAAATATAATGGGTTCAATGCTAAAAACTTTATAGCTGAACCCATAGTTTAAATCCTGGATTCGCTTCTGTTTATGGGTTCTGAATCTTGGAAAGACGACTTAAAGTACTAACAATTGGATTAAAAATTTAATATTTGTACATTTTTAATAAATTTCTTAACACAATGGTTCGACCGAAGCTGTACCCGGGCTTCTAGCTCCGACCCGAATGTAATGATGGATATAACATCATGCACCCATGATAGAAAAAGAAGAGGTCTCCAATCCCTTTATAGAGACGGAGTGAAATTCAAAAATAGCCAGATTTATAAGTAATAATTTAAAAATAATTACAGTTTCAAAAGTAATCGATATTTAGCCACTTTTGCATGTAAAGATAAATTTGAACAAAAATACAGTTCAAAATTCGGAAAATATTCCAACATAATATGCTGGAGTTCGAATTTTTTACATGTGAACTTCCAATATAACATGCTGGAATTTTATCATGTGTCGGGGTTCCAACATAATATATTATATAGGTGCTCTAATCTCCGGTATATTATGCTGGAACTCGATACGTGAAATTAAGCAACCACATATTCGTTAAAGCTACCTTTTTTGGCCCCTAGATCCCAACCTTAAATAAACTACCGTTTTAGACGTTTCTCTTTCCGTAATTCTCTCTCTTATCACAAATTTTCTTTCCTTAATCAAAACTAACTCCCAAAAGCCTTTAAAAAGCAAATATAATAACAATAGATAAACGTTCAAATTTTTTTTCTTTATTTACTATTTTCCTTCTTATTAAAAGACAATCAAACTTCCTGAAGTGTTTACAACATCTTTAGGGTTGTTCTAATCATCAAGAAAAACCACCCCTTGATTCCTATTTTTTAGTACTTTTGTTTAATCATATATTATAAGGGGTTGGTTTGTTATTGATGGTTAGATCTTTTTTTCTGTTTTTTTTTTTGAATTTTCTTTAATATATTCATATCTGTTTGATTATTTGTTTATTTAATTTATCAACATGAGTGATGAAAAGAAGTACATTACGGCTGAGGAGTTAAAGAAACATAATAAGCAAGATGATTTGTGGATTTCAATTCAAGGGAAAGTTTATAATGTAACAGATTGGGTGAAAGAACATCCTGGTGGTGATATTCCTATTCGTAGTTTGGCTGGACAAGAAGCAACTGATGCATTCATTGCTTTTCATCCAGGTACGACCCGTTCTGTGAGTTTAATTGAACCTATTACTTTCAACTCGAATTATATATACATAAATATATCATTTTATATCGGTGGCGGAGCTATAATTGATGAATGGATTCAATTGAATTCCCTTCGTGGAAAATTGTACTGTGGAATTAATAGGGAAACAACAACAACAACAAAACCATCCCGTATAATCCCACAAGTGGGGTCTGAGGGCAATTAATAGGGCAAAAACAAATTTTTGTGTATACATATAAACTTTTGAATCCTCTTGACATAAGAGAATTTTTCATTTTAGTTGCAAAAGATAGTTCAAAAGTTGTTTTAGGTCGTAGGTTCGAATTTCTTGAATCCCTTTGCTAGATTTCTGGCTTTGTCACTGTATTGAGGGAAATCTACACAGTATAAGTGCCCCCAAAATAGTAGCCGTCAAATGTATATTTTTGTATATTAATGTATAATATACAGGGGCAAAGCTATGTGTGGCCAAGGGTGGTCAAATATTACTTGTTATTGCTTAGACGAATCCACTCTGAACACCGTTGTATAGCCCGACAAAGGGTGTTTGAAATCTGAACACCCTTATAATATACATATTTTACACATAACCAGTATATATTTTTGTATATTTGACTAGCGGCTCTAATTATTTTAGACGAACCGGCTAAATATGTTGAAGCCCATGTCTTGAACCACTGACTCTAGATTCTGAATTCGCCTCTACAGGTACTGCTTGGAAATATCTTGACAAATTCTTTACTGGATATTATCTTCAAGATTACCAAGTTTCAGAGGTGTCTAAAGATTACAGGAAACTCTGTTCTGAATTTGCAAAAGCTGGAATGTTTGAAAAGAAAGGACATGGGGTGATTTACTCCTTATGTTTTGTGACATTGTTACTCACAATGAGTTTCTCTGGTGTTCTTTTGAGTAACAATTTCTGGATTCACATGTTTTCTGGTGCACTATTGGGACTTTCTTGGATGCAAATCTCTTACTTAGGTCATGATTCTGGGCATTACTTAATCATGACAACTCGCGGATTCAACAAATTAGCACAGATTCTTACTGGCAACTGTCTCACTGGAATTAGCATTGCTTGGTGGAAATGGACTCATAACGCGCACCATGTCGCGTGCAATAGTCTTGATCATGACCCTGATCTTCAACATTTGCCAGTTTTCGCTGTCTCTTCAACGTTTTTCAAATCGTTGAATTCTTACTTTTATGGAAGAGAACTCACATTTGATTCCGCGGCTAAATTTTTCGTGAGTTACCAACATTTTACATACTACCCTATCATGTGTGTAGCAAGAGTGAATCTATTTGTCCAAACATTATTACTATTGTTCTCAAAGAGGAAAGTGCCAGATAGAGGTTTAAACATATTGGGAATTCTTGTTTTTTGGACTTGGTTTCCTCTTCTTGTTAGCACATTGCCTAATTGGACAGAAAGGGTGTTATTTGTGCTAATAAGTTTCTGTGTAACATCACTACAACACATTCAATTCACACTTAACCATTTTGCTGCTGATGTTTATGTTGGACAACCAGAAGGGAATGATTGGTTTGAGAAACAAACAAGTGGAACGATCGATATCGCGTGTTCTTCTTGGATGGATTGGTTCTATGGAGGATTGCAATTTCAACTTGAACATCATTTGTTTCCAAGATTGCCTAGATGTCATTTAAGGAAAGTGTCTCCAATTGTTCAAGATTTATGCAAAAAACATAAGTTGCCATATAGGAGTTTGTCATTTTATGAGGCTAATGTTTGGACAATAAGGACTCTTAAAACAGCAGCAATGCAGGCTAGAGGTCTGCTTTGGGAAGCTGTTAATACTCATGGCTAAATTCTGGATATGGAATTTGTTTGTAGTAATAAGTACTATGCTATTAAGTAATGTGTCTATTTTAATTTATGTTGTTGGACTGAAACAGAGAGAAGATGATTGTTGTTTCTTTGTACTTTGTATTTTTAGCTATGTTGATATGGGATTTTGTTTTAAGCACTCCTTAGATCTTTTTTTTTTTTGGTTTCCCACCCGGTATTCGGTATCCACATTGGAGCCCGACTATGTCCGGATTCGCCTCGCGTAGGGCCCCATTCGAGGGGAAACGCTCCCTACCAAGAATTTTTCCATACCCAGAGCTCGAACCCGAGACCTCTGGTTAAGGGAGGAGCAGTCTCATCCACTGCACCAAATATATGCAAAATGGATTGGTATAGTTTATCTTGGTACATAATATAGATAGTCTGTATCTCCTCTGGATTTGTTTTATCTTTCTTGTTCATATATCAGAAATTGCTCAGATTGTATGTTCTTTGATAATATAAGTGAACGTTTTTCCATGCAGATAAGTATTAATAGTATTCTCGGACTTTTATATTCTTATATTTTTATTATTACATGTTACTTTGTTTTGCTTCGGTTATCTCTTATTATCTTGCTATTGTTATTGCCTCTTTATCCATGACTTTCACATTATCGTATTTTTTTTAATACGGCTGCGACTTTGCTTTCCTTGAGCCAAGGGTCTATTGGAAACAACCTCTCTACTTTCACAAAGGGAACCCCACTTATGGAATTATGCTATGTTTATTATTGTTATTCTTAATTATAGTACGTTGTTGTTGTTGTTGTTGTTGTTGTTATTTTAAGTATTTTTACACTTATTTTAAGCACCTTTTAAAATTACAAAACATTGAAGAAAAAGCTAAAACACTGGTTTAACTAGCTTAAAAGCCTATCCAAACACCCTTTAAGTGATTTGTCGAAAACGTTACAATATATCGGGTGAAGTGCACCAGTAGCCACTTTTAAGCCTACTATTTAAAATATATCCACAATTTACAATATATTTAAAGATTAGTCAATTCACTCAAATTATGGATTAAGTATCTTAAATTTTTGTATTAATTTTTAAGCTACTAATTTGGAATTTAGGACCTAATGTCCTAAATTTTTGAGCTGCTAATTTGAATTTCGGAACCACTAAAAGAAATTTCAAATGAGTCCTACAATAATGTTGATTAGACATTTGAGTGTTCCATGTTTCAATTTCATCCACCAATTGGAACCCATAATTTCAATTATCCAATCCAAACAAAAACTTATCCAAATTCCCTCCTTTATTTCCCTCCCTCTCACTCTCAGAATAAGATTTTTCAGCAACCAAACAAAATCCCATCTCTCTCGAATATTCGCATACAATTTTTACTAAAATGTTCAATTTCAATTTCTCAATTCTCTAATTTTGACGTGTTACATGGCGACTCTCTTACCGTCGCCGGACATTTCCTCGTTCTCCGCCGGTCGCCGTCAGTCCAGTATATATTCCGGCATAAACCTTAGAAATGTAAGGAAACTCGCTATTCCAAACGGCGGAAACGGTGTCGTTAATGCGCCGTTGAAGGTTAGTACGATGTCGTCTACGAAACTGGATGAGGAGGAAGAGCAGAAGCGGAATTACTATCTGAATACGGGTTACGCTATTCGGATTCTCAGAGAAGAGTTTCCTGCGCTTTTTTATAAAGAGCTAAACTTTGATATCTACAGGTTAGAATTCTCTTTAGAAAACATCAAACTTTCTACTTTGATGCTACGGCAATTAAACAAGCTCAAATAAAGCGGAATGAAAATAAAGGATTCTTATGGCCTAAGAATTAGCATATAGTTTGTGTTTTGTAAAGCTGTTTTGCATGTGCTTCTCATGCTCTCCTTGGTTCCGGGAGTATACCAATATGTCATCGGTGAAAACAATGACTAGTATGTTGAGGAATGGTTTGAAAACACTATTCATAAGGTCAATGGGATTGAGATGCAGTTGTTGCTGCTATTGTTTTTGTTATTATTGTGATATAATATTTCTGTTTGTTGATGGTTTTCTTCTCTCTCTACAGGGATGATATAGTGTTCAAAGATCCCCTCAACACTTTTACTGGCATTGAGAACTATAAATTGATCTTTTGGGCTTTACGATTCCATGGCAGGATGTTCTTTAGGGCTTTGTGGATGGATATTGTTAGTGTATGGCAGCCTGTAGAAGGCATGATAATGGTTCGATGGACTGTTCATGGCATTCCCCGTGTTCCATGGGAGAGTCGTGGTCGATTTGATGGCACTTCAGAGTATAAACTAGACAAAGATGGGAAGATTTATGAGCACCGTGTTCACAACATTGCGCTGAATGGACCCCCAAAATTCCATGTACTCGCTGTGCAGGAATTAATTGGATATATCGGCTGTCCCTCCACACCAAAGCCGACTTTCTTTGAGATCTCGTTCCATCCCCTGGATAACATTATGCCAGTGGAGAAATTTGCCGAGTTCAGACTTCACCTTGGTTCAATTTTAGCCTCCGTTAAAAGAGATGAGGAGGAAGAATAATTGCAAAAAAAGCATTGTGACAAAGTGCTAAAAGTTTTGATGAATCTTGGCGCTGGTTTCCAGAATTGCACCTGTGCTCTACATATTTACAACAACAACAACAACAACATACCCAGTATTATCCCACACCGTAGGGTGCTCTACGTATTTATACATAACTTTCAAGGTCAGCTCAATGTATCTGGAGTTCACTCTAGTCTCTCTGGGTTCTAATTCTCATCTGAACTCCTGCTACTGGCTTGAGTTTGAAAATTTTACAGCTGTAAATTTTTGTACAGTATATCTTACTACTGAGTTTGCAGTTATTCCCTAGCTGAATATGTTCTCCACAACTTGTAATGAAATAATTCCTTGCATAGAAGTTGTGATATCCAACACATAAAATAGTTTTGGAGAATTTACAGTTCTGCTATTTGTTCTGATCTATTCTGACACTTCTTGTTTAGAACTCTATGACATCCTGCAATCATTTTCTTTCTCAGAAGATATTTCATTGGTAGTAGGTTGAGCTTGAAGATTATACAACTAGCCGTTCGAACAATATTCGATTGAAGTTGGAAAAAATGAGTATCTGAAGTTGAAGTTTGAAAGAGTATTTGGAAGCTAAGTTGTGTTTGGCTTGAATTTCACTTGGAAATAAAGTTAAACTTTTGCGAGTGAAAGAATTATTTTACTTGAAATATTCCTCAAACCAGTTTTTTCAACTTCAAATTCTCTATTTCAAGTTGAAGTTGAAGCCTTGTACCAAAGGCACCTAATATATGGTTGTGTTTATCATGACTTGACAATGCTGATTAAACATGAATTTTCTACAGTTAGCAAATTATGGAGTAGAACTATACTGTTCTATATTATGTCATGTCTGTGATAGAACCTAAAAAACAAACTTTTTCGTAATCCTGTATGCCTACAACATTGTTACAAGGTTTTCCACTGTGCAACTTAAAGAAAATTAGTAAGTACTCAATTTCATGCAATTCACTTTCTTTTTAAAATTTTCCCAAAAAGAACGATACTTTCATTATCTACAAGTACCGATGGATAACCAGTATTTGCAGATAGTGAAGTTCATTATTTGAAAATACTAATATGATATTTGACGCCCCAACGAGCCCTTAAAGTTAAACGCGTGGGACAGCACCTAGCTCCCGTGAGGTACAAGGTCCTGAGAAGGGCCGAACCACAAGGGTCTATTGTGTTGGGATAAAAAATAATCTCGTCCGGGAATAATATCCACATCAAATAATAATAACACAAGAGAGTAACAATAACACCAAATATTTTAGCGGGATAAAATACAATACCCGAGTAGAGCAATATTACCACTATAATATTACAACTCAGTAGTGTCAAGAGACTACTACAACTTTGAAAGAAATAACACTCTTTATTTAAAACGCATCACTACAATATTACTACCACTCACTAGTTATCTCACAGACCACAATCTGTGGATTACTCTCACTGCTTTATGTTTCTCTCGTTATTTTGGTGTGTATCAAAAGAGAAATGGAGCCTGCTATTTATAGAAGATCAGAATGGTTTATTCACTGTAATTTGCAGTGCAAATTACCATCGGTCAAAACATGTGTTTGTGACTTTTGCAATTTGGCAACTTTTTCTAGTCGCCCAACTTGGAAAATCTTTCCAGCCACCCTATTTGTCTTCTGCAACTTTTTCATCTTTTTTATGGGTCCTACAAATCTCTCCCTTAATTTTGATTTTTCTTCTTTATTCCAATTCTGGATCTCAATCTTCAAATTTGAGAGGCTTTGTGAAGATATCTGAAACTTGATCATGAGACTTCACATATTTGAGCCCGACTTCCTTCTTGGCAATGCACTCTCTGATGAAATGATACCTTGTATCTATATGCTTGCTTCGATCATGATACACCGGATTCTTAGCCAAATAGTATGACAGGTACATGATGTTGTTGCTATATATTCGGTTTCACAAGTCGAGAGAGTAACAATGGACTATTTCTTTGAACTCCAAGAAATAACAGAATCACTCAAGAAAAATACAAATCCAGTTGTACTTTTTCTATCATCAATATCTCCCGCATAATCACTGTCACACCTCCTTTTTCGCCCGCGCCGCCCGCGAAGGGGCACGAAAGGGAGTTTTTTCCAATTAAAGGACAATCAAATCGGAATTTATTTATTTATTTATTTCAGAGTCGCCGCTTGGGAGATATATGGTGTCCCAAGTCACCGATTGAATCCCGAATCGAGGAAAATATTCGACTTTCCAAATGAAGTCTGCGAACCAGAAATTCTATGTAAGGAATTCTGTTGACCCGAGGAAAGGTCTTAGGCACCCCCGAATCCCGTGGTTCTAGCACGGTCGCTTAAACTGTTGTAATGGCTAGATATCTAATTTTTATACATATTATAATTTATGTGCTTTTATCAACTTTAAACCGCTTTTATTATTATTATTTTTAGAATTGCAACGTTGTGAAAATGCGTTTCGAACCACATCGCAATCAATGCACCCATGATTGTTGACACGTTTTGACTCCGTTGAGATTTGGATTTGGGTCGAATAAATGCGCACCCGAGTTTAGGGATGTAGTATTATTAAAATCGTGCCTAAAGAATCTAACGCTTTATTACTTTGGAGAAGGTCGTAAAATTTGCTAAACGGCCAAACTCGAAATCTAAGTATTCAATTAAACATTTATTGAGGGCTCCGCAATTTGTGCATTTTATTGGGCGAGGCTTATCTCATTTATTTTAAAAGGACAATCCTAAAATGCCTACATTTTTCTCTATTAAATTTGTCTCTACAAAATGAAAGAGAAAATGTCTTAATTTATTCACATGCTTGAGTTGTTATAGTTGGGTTTCGAATATGATTCATAAAATCTGAAAATAATGCAATCAGGACAGTTCGTTGCCAATGCGGGCCCAGTCCCAACGTGTATGGCATAAAACTAGACCTGGGCCATCTTATTCACATGTTACTACCTAGTTAC